GAGGAAGACTTCTTGCCATCTCCTCTCTGGTTTTCAGTCTAACAGTTTGCTTTAGAGAGCGGAACACGTGCCTTCCCAACCTTCTCCCACTAGAACTTCCACCGCTTTGTCGCTCAATCCCTCATTCCTCTGGGACCCTCTGGGTGGCGCTATTTTGAAGATGGGGATACATAAAAAGCAGGAAAGTTTTTTCCTGACTGACACCAAACATGAGTTCACAATCAAAAAATAAGATATACATAATGATATAAGAACCACAGTGAGAGTTAGCAGAAGTAACAAACACCAAAATTAAACTCATGAAACTATTGATATTAGAATAACTAGACAAAAAATTTTAATTTTAAATTACTTAGAATTTTAGGGGCTAGGGTTATGGCTCAGTGGTAGAGTGCTCACCTAGCATGCATGAGGCACTGGGTTCGATCCTCAGCACCACATAAATGTAAAATAAAGATGTTGTGTGTCCATCTAAAACTTAAGAATAAATATTTTTTAAAAATTACTTAGAATTTTAATAGAGTTTAAGAAATAACAGGGAATTGCACTTAAGAGTAAGGGCCATGACACTGTCAACAAGGACCAAGATTTGAAAAAGTGCTAAGTCTTAGAAATTAAAAAAAAAAAAGTTGGGGAGGTGGCTCAGTGATAGAGCGCTTACCTAGCATGCGTGAGGCACTGGGTTCATTCTCCAGCACCACATAAAAATAAACAAATAAAATAAAGGTATCGTGTCCATCTACAACTAAAAAATTATGTTAAAAAGTATTAAAATTGAAAGGATGAATAGATCCAGCTAAAGAGAAAATTAGTGAATTACAAGAAAAACTTGAAGAAATTACCCAGAATAGACAACAGAAGACAAAGGAGATAGAATATACAAAGGATAGAAGCTCTGTGGGGGATGAAATGGGATCTAATACACATTTAATCCGATTCCTTGAAAGAGAGTTTAAAGAGGAAATGAAATATTTGGTGTTTTAATAGCTGAGAGTTTTCCATATTTGATGAAAATCTAACCCACAGATTGAAAAGCACAACAAATCCCAACTTAGATAAATAAACAGAAATCCATTCCTGGTCACATGTTAATCAAAACCAAAGAACAAGAGGGACAAAAACAAGAACTAACAGCAGAGACAGGACAGATCACCGTAAAGGAAGGGCAATAGGGCACGGCCGAATCCAGGCAAGCAGCAGTGAAGGTCGGGAGAAAGTAAAACGAAAATTTCCATGTGTTGAGAAAAGAACTATCAATCCAGAATTGAGTGACCCGTGAAATTGTTTCAAGGCAAGAATGAAACAAAGATTTTGTTCTAGATCAACATAAACTGACACGAGTATCCTACTAACAGATCAATACTGAAGAAATTCTCCTTCAAAAAGAAGAGATTTCAAAAGGAAGATCTGAAATGGAGGAAGAAAAGAAGTATAGGAAAGACATGGGTGATTCTAAAAAAAAAACTCTATATGTAACCTATGTATTATATATGCAATATCCAATGTACGTCTATGATATGTAATATAATGTGTAATGTGTAATATATGTAATAATATATGTGACATATAAGACTGAAAAAGGCAAGATGGAATTAAATCATTAGAGAAAATGACAGAAAGTCCAGAGGACGTATTCTGAGTTAAACTGTTTCAGTCTATTTTCAAGTTAAATCTATATTAAAAAGTAATGTTTTTAAGTTAATTTCTACAAGAAGAAAATTAAGCCCAGATGTTTCAAGCAAAGACAGATTTTCCATTCAAGCAGGGCCCTGAAATCTGGAACTCCCTTGACAGGGCTTGGCCTCAAGAGAGGATTCATAGTTCCTGAGGTATTTATCGCTTCTAGTGCTAACAAAGGTTTTTAATTGCCTTCTCTTAATTACAGTGCCGTGGAACTTCTCAGATCTCCTCAGAACATAGATGTCCTCCCACCAGCAGCTTCCTTCCTCCCTTCCCCAAGCATAATTTCCACCAACAAATGCTAGCTCCCTTCTTGAAAAGCAGCCAGGTCCCAGTGCATTGTCCACCCACCTCTCCTGCCCGCCCTCCGCCCTGAACAGTGAGCGGTCTGAGTGGCCACAAGTCACCGGCTGCAGAATATCCAAACCCGCAGAAGCACATCACAGCCAGGGACTCTGACCTGAGCGAGGAGGGTGCGAGTTCAAGGCCAGCCTGGGCAACTTAGGAAGCCCCGGGTGCTTTCCCAGCATGTGTGGGGCGCTGGGCGCTGGGCTGGGGATCCAGCCACACACACACACACACACACACACACACACACCCACGTTAGGCCCCCTCAGTGCTGCCTCCCTATCATCCCACGGCATCTGTTGCTGAACTTTCTGGGAAGGGTGTGTATTGCAGGACTCCCCGTCCTGCTGGGGCTAGATCAGGATGAGCCCTGGTTATGTCAATCATGAGTTCTTGGTAACAAACAGAGACGAAAACGCTTGATTTAGTTTAAAACATCACAACCAAGTCCACTTTGTCTGTCTGGTACAGAACAACGGTGAGCAAGGGTGATGCGCAAGCTCAGTGCTGCTGTGTCACGGTGAGGGCCAGCACCCCCAGGCAGGCTCTGCCTGGAGGACTTCCGCCCCCTCTGCCCCTCGTGTCTTCCATGCCCTTGCTCTTTCTTGACTTCCACAAGGACATTTCTCCTGGCCAGTGCCTGACACCTTGGCTTTTCTTCAGGTAAGGGAGAAGCCACGCGTCTTTTCTAGCCTCCTCAGAAATATTGGGAGGGGCTGAGCCCCACCAAAAAGCTCCAACAAAGCGTTTAGCTAGACTGCTACCTGGTCCCCTCCCCACTCCAGATCTGCTTCCGGTTCCCGCTAAAACCTGCCGTGTAGCAGGGACGACGGGGACTCCTCCTCAGAGGCTCCCGCTCCCCAGCCCGGAAGTCTGTGTCCGGGCTTGGCCCCGTGGGTCCTCCCCAGGGATTCCCAGGGGGAAGCACCTGTTCCCCAAAGCCCTTCCCCCCACTCAAGCTGCTGCACCTGGACCCCCTCTGAGGACAGGAGAAGCAGCAACAAGGCCTGTCTGCACAGACCCGCCCCCGGGTGACAGGAAGGAGCTGGCAGTTCAGGGCTCCGCTCCATGTGACGGGAGTCAGATGAGCCAGATTCCAAGCCCTATTTTGTATTTTTGCCGCAGTCTGGCTGGGCACAATTCGGGAGCCACTTGTCAAAAGAA